GGTCCTGGGGATATGGCCGTCAGTCAGACCGACTGTGGAGAGGCTTTCAGCCTAACGTGTAAACTGAGCTCTAAAGTACCCCGTTCAGTCCGGTAGCCACCAGTCACGTGTGGCTGCTGAGCCCGTGAAATGTGCCTAGTCCAAAGTGAGGTGTGCTTTAGTATAAAGTACACATCAGGTTTCAGTGAAAAGAAATACACGCCAGACTTACTATGAAAAGAAGAATGTGCAATACCTTGTTAAGAGTTTTATATAGATCATATCTTGGGATGATAATTTCTGAACCCGTAGGGGTAAAGAAAATATGTTATTCAAATTAATTTTACCTATGGCTTTTTACCTTTTCATATGGCTTTAGAACATATGTGACTTGCATTATACAGGGTCGGGCACATATAATATCCCTTTTTTTATTCCAAAATCTTTCATTACAAAACCAGAAGCATGTGATTCTGTAACATAACATCACATGCAAGCACACCATATAACATTTCAGGTGAAGTGTTCAAATTGCTGTCCATCTCGTGCGAGACGTTCATGTACCCTGCCAACCACACTCAAGCAGGCCTTACTTCTGCTGGACCCACTATTTTGACAGGACACAGCTGATCTGAAGGACAGTGACGTTACCTAAAGCAGCGAGGGACTGAGCTGACAGTGGAGGGGAGGCAGCGATGGGCTGGAGGAGGGTCCTGGGTGGGACACAGTGGGTGCAGAGGTCCTGAGGCAGGAAAGAACAGGGCATTGTCAAGGAAATGAAACTGAAGCCTTGCATGTCACGTTAATGATTTTGAGCTTTATCCTCAGATCAACAGGAAGTAATTGAGGGTTTTAAATGGTGTGCTCAGTTTTCAGGAAGTTTGCAGTTAATAAATGAGGGCAAGACAGCTACAGTTGAATATAACAATACAATCAGAAACAAAGCCCCCCTCCCCCCACAAAAGAAAGAAAGATGGTAGAGTCTGGAGGTATTTGGTTGGGAAATGCCATTGAGAGGGAGCAGGACCCTACTTGCCCTCGTTCCTGCCCCAGGGTATGAGGCACAAACACCCCCCACTAAAGAGAGAAGCAGACAACTGGGAGGGAGTTTGCATTCATTTTCAGCTTGGTTACGGCTCAGCCCTGGAGGAAGCATTCCAGGAAGAGTCCAAAGTTGAGTGGGAGTTTGATTACAGAGCTGGGGCTCTGCAGGGTCAGGAACAAGGAAGCCCAGCACAAATGGGGATTAGAGGGTCTGTCCTTTGAAAGAGTGTGCTGGACAATAGCAGAGGAAAGCTTGGATTAGAGCCCGGAGGTGTGGGGTCTGACCGTTCCTGGGGCCTCCCCGTGCATCTGTGGCCAGGAGGACATTTCCCTTTAAGGCACAGGTCACACACCAGCAGACCCAGTCTGGCCTGCAGACGTGGTTTGTTTAGCTCACCTCTGAGAATGGATCACCAGTTTTAGATCAGATATCACACACAAATACAGATTTCCAGTATTTTGGCAATTGGAAGATCCAGGAACTTCACTTCTTCAGTAGGAACTAAAATGATCATTTTCATTTTGTTAAAGCATTTATTTATGCTAAAAACAACTGGAACCTATAGATTCTCTGTGGTCTGACTCTAAGTCTTGCATTCTCTCCAGTTTTTGTTTCAGCAGTCCTGTCTTTCAGTTCTTCAGAAAAGTTCTTACACTGGCACCCTTAGTTCCGTGAGACCAGGTAATACAAAAGCTTTGTCGGTTTACACGAGAGTGGAGTCCATCAGAGAGGCATGCGTGTTCCCTGCAGCTCACCACTGTTCCCTCCACCCTGTTCTTCATGCATCTGTATGGCCAGTGGCACATGTGGATTTGCTGGCCGTGCCTCAAACTTTAAATCCAACTGACTAGTGTTATGTGTCTGTTGGTGAACACTTGGTCTGCGAGCTCCCATGCTGATTAATATCTTAAAAATGGCCAGCTTTAAAGCTCAACAGTCCCTTTGTAAATATTCGGCAGTTAATTGAGATGGGAAAAGTCAGTTGACAGCAGCAAGGAGGGCAGAGGGAAGTGGTTTTATGTTTACCTGAGATAGATGCACTAAGCTGGGGACCTTGCTTAGTATTCACACCCTCTGCGCCAGAGTGAGGGAAGGGTATGTATTTCTGTTATCTTTGTGGCTGTAGTACTGTTTCTCTGCTCCTGCTCCAGTATACAAAGTCTGTGCAAAAGGTATCCACCCATGTGATACGAAAAATAAATACATTTACTGAAGAAGACTCAGGTATAAGAAACATTGTACACAGGACAATGACGCCTCAGTCCCCTTCAAAGTAAGCACCTTGGGACCTCACACAGTTCTCCTAGTCACCATCAGCTGCCCTATCATATTTTCCTGAGTCTCATCAAGATTTCCTGAAATCTCTTCCCTTTCAAAGGTGATTTGAGTTTGGGGAAGAGCCACAAGTCACAGGGCACCAGATCTGGGCTGTAGGGGGTGAATCACCTGGGTTATTTGATGTTTCACCAAAAAACTCTGCACGAAACCTGATGCATGAGCAAGTGCGTTGTGGTGAAGTTGTAAATCACCAGGTGCCCATAGCTTTGGGCTTCGAAATCATCCAGATAGTTTCTGTGGAGGAAGGTCCAAGCTGAACATAAAACTTGATGCAGATGCATTGCTCTGCATTTTGAATGCAATGGCCACACAGCACACATGCTCACTGAAAGCCGTCTACCACCCCCATTGACTGATACAGTGAAGTCATCATTGTTCACATGTGTGCATTCCAGTCCGCTCTCCTTGGCTGCCAGGTTACATTGATGTTGCACAAAACTGTTCTTGTGTTAACCATGGCTGGACTTCTTCCAGACAGACCTCATATATATTTTGAGTGGAAAAAAACAGAGAAAGTGTTTTGTTCCTTAAACAAAGTAAGCAAAGGCAGCAGATTAAAATACTGCAAAGCTTGGTGGTAGGTGCCTGAGTGTCCCTGATGTTATTGCTGCATTTTTTTTGTCCCTGTGATAGAGTTCATAGCCAAAAGATGATGGAGAAGTGCTTCTGCCCACAAAATTTGCCCATAATATGCCTCTTCATTTGAAGGAAAAATAGTCCATTCGTGTAAGGAGGCTTCTTGCTTGAGAAGACAAAGTAACTGTTGAGGCAGAGAAGTTGTTGATAACTTCTCTTTTCTCCAACCCCTTCCACCAACTGCCACCAAAAAATAAGACAATAAATGTTAGAGGGGTCGATCCAGTTTCTGATGGGCCTAAAGCTTCTACATGTTGGTGGATTGGAGTCCTTTAAAGAAATCATACAAAAATACCTTTCTTTTGTAAATTGCACACACCCATAAGAACTCATTATTTGGTCTCCGAGTGCCTTAGAAAGAGTTTGGTCCAATGAGGGCACGTGAAGCTTGAGCTTCATCAGCTTCCTGATTATTCTGCTTCTGGGCACCAGTAATCGCCTGGCCAATCACCACGCAGATGCCTTCACCCATTCTCTGTTCTTCTGACACCCAGTGGCCCTCTGGTCTGAGCACAGAGGTATCCCTCTCCCCTGGAAATTCTCCGTGAGGGGCCTTCATCTGGGCCCCGAGCTCAGCCTCTTCCTCTGACTTCAGGCTTTTTTCCCTGCTGCATACACGCTGAAGCTTCAAACCTGGTGCTTGACAGGAAGGGGAAATCCTAAACCTGCTAGAGCCTTCCAGCTGCATGCACTTCACCTCAACCTGCTGCCTCCCATTGAAGCCTTCTTGTAAAGTCTTTTCCCACCTTCAGAATCTCTAGGAATTAGTACAGAAAGGAAGAAACTCGATCTAGATTCCAATTAACGCTGTCACTGTTGGTTATATAACTGTGGCTGAATCACAGTTTAAGTGGAACAGCAAATCTCCAGTTAATGGAAGTTGCCAAAAAGACCAGGCCCTGATTGATGTTCATATAATCTTTACTCCCTGTGTGTGGAAAACGCTGGGGTGGAGGCGGAGAGCATTGGGCATGTAAACCGACCAGCATTTGTTGCGAAGGTATGTCCACTGCAAGGTGAAGGAAGGCAGGCCGGTGCAACCAGACAGCAGGTTCTCCGGGGCACACAGTGGGCCCAGCAGATGTTCGGGTCAGCTTACCGAGTTCAAAACACTTTTTGGTTGTGGTTCCCTGCGTTGCTAGATTCTTCTCCCTCCGAGAGGTCACTGGTGTGCGTAGGATAACCGCAGGGGTGGGAGGAGGAGGTGCGGCCTGCTTATCACGGAGCTTCCGCTCACTCCCGCAGACCTGCTCCCGTTAATCTGTGTCTACAGGCCGCGCTGCTCAGCTGCTGGCTTTTGATAGCGTGTTTGCATCCGGATTTACTCCTTCCCAAAGCGCTGTCTTGAGGCAGGTGAGAGATTAGTTTGGTGAGTCCCATGTTATGAGTTAATGTTGCTTTAAATCACTTTTGATGTTTGAATGTGGAACCTTAGATTTTCTTGTGTGCGGCGTAGCCTGTGGCACTGAAGAGCTAGTTGCCACCAGCCAGTGGTTTGCATACCTGGTAAACGTGGTGGACTGTTGAATTAACAAGTTTAATAACTTCCATAATAAGGTGAGACTGGTAAACACTCTTTTTCCACCAGAAGAAAAACAAAGTAAGAAGGATGCCTTCAATGTAGAGTCAGCTACTAGTCATCTTTGTAGACAGCTACAACTCATTCTGTTAAATCCTCTCTCCTGTAAACAAACTCCTTTGATCTGACAGAAATGCAGCATGCCATCAGAATGAAGTGTCCTGGTTATCGTACATCATACAATTAACATACTATCTAACCATCAGAAAATTTAAGCCACTGGGTTCCTTGTAATTAATTATCTGTAGAATATGCCTGTATGTACCATTAGTGTATGAATTGCCGGATGTCCGATTTCAACCCTGTTCAAAGGAATTGTCTCAGTTTATTTTAGAAACCAGCAGTTGTAACATGTGCTTCCTTTCCCAGGTTGTCAGCTGAATGAAGAATATAATGCATGCTGTTTGTTTCTTCTCTTTCTAGAGATCTTTCTGTCATTGATCATTGGCCCATCCGAAGGCACGAGGGAAGCTCATCCATCAGCATGTCCAAGTATAAACTGATTATGTTGAGACATGGAGAGGGTGCTTGGAACAAAGAGAACCGTTTTTGTAGTTGGGTGGATCAGAAACTGAATAGTGAAGGACTGGAAGAAGCTCGGAACTGTGGGAAGCAGCTCAAAGCGCTGAACTTTGAGTTTGATCTTGTATTCACATCTGTCCTCAATCGGTCCATCCACACAGCCTGGCTGATCCTGGAGGAGCTGGGACAGGAGTGGGTTCCCGTGGAAAGCTCCTGGCGTCTGAATGAGCGTCACTATGGAGCCTTGATCGGCCTCAATAGGGAGAAAATGGCTTTGAATCATGGCGAAGAGCAAGTGAGGATCTGGAGAAGAAGCTACAACGTGACTCCGCCACCCATTGAAGAGTCCCACCCTTACTACCACGAAATCTACAACGACCGGAGGTACAAAGTGTGCGATGTGCCCGTGGACCAGCTGCCTCGGTCTGAAAGTTTGAAGGATGTTCTGGAGAGACTCCTTCCCTTTTGGAACGAAAGGATTGCGCCTGAAGTGTTGAGTGGCAAAACCATTCTGATATCTGCTCACGGAAATAGCAGTAGGGCACTCCTAAAACATCTGGAAGGTACCATCTTTATGCTACTACTTGTTAGAGGTGGCTAATGGTATAGTCGGGCCGTGATCTACAAAGGACGTGGTCTGTAAGCTAATAATGCACAGTCTCCATAATAGACTTTCCTTCCCTATTCCCTTTTGTCAGCTTCAGTCTTTTTAAGAATCATTTTGTTCTGTAAAGCAACAGTTGTCTGCCTTTCTGGTCTTTGTATCTGGAGCAGTGGTTCCCAAACTTTAGTGAGCATCAGAGTCACCGGGAGGGGGAGGGGCTGTTCTACCACAGATTGCTGGCCTTGCCCGAGGAGTTTCTGAACTTGTAGGCCTGGGGTTCCAGGCTGTGGATTTGCATTTCTAAGAAATTTTCAGGTGATGTTGATGCTGCAGCTTGAGGCTGTCCTTTTTTAGAAGTCTGAACTAAAAGGACCATGTAGCTTTCTTGTAGTAAGATAAAAGGAGGCTAGCCGTGGAAGAGACTTCTGTAGGAAAGATACTGAAAGTACACTAACCTACTGGAGTCTTTCAAGATAAGAAAAGTTATCTAGACTTCAGTTTTGCTCACGCCCTTCCAACCTTGAACAGTTGTTGCTGTGTTTTGAGGCCTAGGTTTTGGGAACAATTCATTTGCTCTAAGACCTCTCTTTCCAGACCCAGGCGTAGTCTTTGATGGGGTGAAAGTTGAGGGGGTGGGGGATAAAACCATGGCTTGTCGGAGGTAATCAGTAGCTGCAGCAGTACTTGATGTTGTGTTCTAAATGTACCATAAAACGAGCTGCATAAAACCTGTCTCTCAAGTAACGGGAACTAAATGGACCCTTCTGAGGACTCAGACACACCAGTGTGGGGCATCGGTAATGACACTGCAACATTTTCAAGGCATTTCTCATCCCCTTTCCCCCCTCATTAAAGAATCCCAGCCAGTTATGCTGTTTGAGTGATCTGCTCTGTCTGGCGTTTTCCCGTCTGGCGTCACTTACTGCGTCATTTACTACCGTCTCGTTCCTGTCAGCAGTTCCCTTACCGATGCTAGAACACATTTCTCCAACATCCCTGCTCCGTTCTGCTTTACTTTTCTCCATGCGGCTGTGAAAAATAAAAGCGCTGACCTTGTATGTGAATCAGTGAAAGTAGGTTATGGGGAGCAAAATAAAGTGACCTTTATGAGATTTTACTGTAAACTTTTTAGCATGTATTTTTTAACCCCTAATTTTTATAACATGGCCAGCAGCCAAATGATTACCCATATACCTGTGTCCATTAGTTGTGTAGAAATCTAAGATCTGCGGCCTTTATTGGCTAGTTAAACCTTTATTGGGTAGACACCTTTGTTGGGTGCTCGATCTGTTTGTGTATGTGTTTATATATCTTATTTACTCAGCTGTATAAAGGGTCCTCTTCTTCCTTGTTCAGAATAGTCAGATATTTGATTAAGTGCTATGTAACTTAATCATTATTGGACCAGCAGCTCTTTACCGTTTGAAGAAGAGTTGAGGCTCCTCCGAGGACGACGAGAGCCTGAAATGCAGAATTTCACAGTTTCTTCCAGAACGTGCACTTTTTCTCACGTGCCGATTTCCTCTCCCAGAGGTGGAGCTTAGCTCTCTTTGGGGCCTGGCGCCTTCCCTAGAGAACAGGTCACGTCTCCTTCAGGATCCTCGTTGTTTGTTTCCCTGCCTTCACCAGGAAATCTTCCCTTTAAAACAGTCTCCTGCCATTTAGTGCCATTTACTCTCCTGTCCTCAGGTGGTTACAGTTGTTCTGTGGCCCCAACCGTAGTTTATTCTAGTGCCCCCTCCTAATAGTGCGTTGATGACTTAACTCTTTGTAGCTGTTGTTTTTTTTGAAGGAAATAGGATGGTTTAACAAATGGAGAAGAAGACTGTCACCGCCCTGGCCGGGTGGCTCAGTGGGTTGGAGCGTTGCTCCGTGCACCGAAGGGTTGCCGGTTCACTTCCTGGTCAGGGCACATACCTAGTTGGGGGCTCTGATCCCTGGTTGGGGTGCGTGCGAGAGGCAACCGATCGGTGTTTCTCTGTCTCTGTCTCCCTTCCTCTCTCTCTAAAATCAATAATAAAAAAATGTCCTCAGGTGAAGATTTAAAAGCAGGAAGACTCACCATGGTGGGGATGGAGGGAGCGTTACCTGTAGAAGGCAAGGTAATTGGACAGTTTACACATAGAAAAGTTCACTTTCTATATTCAAGACAGGTTTTGAAGTCATTAATAACTTGCTGAGAAGCAATCAGATGGTGGAGCTGCCTTGGAAAACAGTCTGGCAGCTCCTCGATGTTAAATAGAGAGTTACTGTGTGACCCAGCAATCCTACTCCTCGCTGTGTAGCTGTTTTAGTTTCCTGTTGTAACAAAGTACCAAGAACTGGGCAACTTAAAAAAAACATATTAATGCTCTCACAAGCTTGGGGGCTCCAGGTTCTAAATAAAGGTGTTGGCAAGGTCACGCTCTTTCCTCTTGTAGCTTCTGGTGTTTGCTGGAAATCTTCGTTCCTCGGTTCCTAAGTTCATCACTGCCGCCCTCTGCGTTCACTTGGCATCTTCCCCGTGCGAATCTCTGTTTCTTGTCCAAATTCCCCCTTTTCATAAGGACATCGGTAATATTGGACAAGTGCCCACCCCAATGACCTCATTTTAACTCGGTTATCTCTACAATGACCCTCTTTCCAAATACGGTCACTGTCTGAGGTATTGGAGCTTAGACTTCACCATATCTTTCCTGGTAGGCAGTGCAATACACTCGAGAACTAAAAACATCCATCCACACAAAAACTTTTACTGAAATCTTCAGAGCAGTATTATTCATGGCGGTCAAAATGCAGAAGCAACCCAAATGCCCATCAGCTGGTGACTGGAAGAATCCAAGGTGGTACGTCCATACAATGGAATATTCTTCAGCAAAAAAGAATGAAATACTGATACATGTTACAATATGGATGAGCGTTGAAATTGTTACAGAGGAAGGAGCAAGTTAAAAGGATCATGTGTGGTAGAGTTCTGTTTATATGAAATATCCAGAATCGGCAAAGCTGTGCAACAGAAAGGGGACTGTTTCCCAGGGCTGGGGAGCAGGTGAAGAGGGTGTGGAAGGAAGAGTGACTGCTCGTAGGGACAGCGTGTCTTGTCGGGGTAGTGGGCATGTTGTAAAGCTCATTGTGGTGGTGGCTACCCAACTCTGAATACTGAAAGTTACCGAATTCTAAAAAAAAAAGATTTTACTTATTTGTTTTGAGACAGAGGAGAAGGGAGGGAGAAAGGGAGAGAGAGAAAGAAACATCAATGTGTGGTTGCCTCTCATGCGCCTCCCCACTGGGGATCTGGCCTGCAACCCTGATATGTGCCGTGACTGGGAATCGAACTGGCAACCTTGTGGTTCACAAGCTGACGCTCAGTCCACAGAACCACACCAGCCAGGGCTGAATTGTACTCTTTTAGTGGGTGAATTGAATGGTATGTGAATGATCTCATTGAAGCTGCAAAAATAATTGAATCAGTGGGACCGAAAGGTTAAAGGATTTGACATTGGCCTAGAAAACAATAGTTTTGGGCAAATATATAATAGTGATAACAAAGTAGAAATGCGTGGATGCGGGGTATAGAATATGGAAAAAATTAAAACACAGCTTTGACCACTGGGACAGAACTGGATTCATAGGAATCGCCGAGAAATTAGCAGGCTTTAGTCCTTAGGCTTCATTTAACCTTTCTTCTAAAGGCCGTTCTTCTTTTTTTTCTTTTTATGTTGGGAGATAATGGGACTAAATTACATTTCAGAGATGAATTCATTTGAAGCAACCTTAAATTGTAATTCCTATCTCTATGACTATAAACAGGCTTTACATAAAATGTTTTGTTTGGGGGAACAGTTGATTTACAGTATCGGTGCTTGTGCTGGAAGAGGTATGAGAGGCTTGAGCAGGAAGTTTGTGAGAGTAGGCAAAGGTGTAGGCTGGCAGCTGTGTGCAGGGAAGAAGGAAGGAACGTATGAGGGAGACGGGATGGAGATGGTAGGGCTGGTGCCCAGGGAGAATGGCAGGCATTCGGGGGCGGGGGGGGGGGGAATCCGCAGAAAAGCCAGGCTATGCCATTAGGCACAAACCTAGGGCTGGGGAGGCAAGTGTGAGGGTTGAGCTCTGTCCAAGGGAGGCAGACCTTATAAGGGTGGTTTGTAACCTTCGCTCACCCTTCCTGGGGAGAACAGCGTTGCTCCTTTCTGGCCTGCAGTGCTCCCTGGTGGTACTATTAGGATTCATGGAGTTCTTTGATGTTGCTGTGATTCCCTGTAGCGATTTATTCCCACCCCCTAAGGGGGAAGAAATTATTTCATGTGCATGAAGAAGCCTGGAGTACGTTTTAGGATCACTTTGTAAATGAGTTCTCTCTTCTTGAAGAAGTCCTCTAAATGCCATTTCCCACTGATAGAATTCTCTTGGAGAATATTTTGAAGAATGAGATCCAAGCATTCTGTGTCACAGCTGTGGGGATGAGGCATAAGCAACTTTCCCAAGAGGAGAAGACAGTGTGTATGTTATTTCTCCCATGCCATTTCTGTTCATCAAGTGAGATTTCAGCCCTTTTTAAAGTTTATTCTAAATATATATGTTCCCCGGAACGGGCATGACAGCATTAGACGTCTTACCTTGCCACGTGTAACTTGCGGGAGCTCGAGTTACAGGGCTTCGCGTGGTACTTGGTACATTCGCAGTCTGAAAGGGCATTGCATTGAATTTGGATACTAGCTTTTCAAAACCCCCAAAAGTAAGTGAATATTCCTTACTTTAGGGGGAAAATATAGACTTTTGTTTTATAAGAAGAAATATTTGCTAATTCGTGGTTGTGGTTTTTGTGTTAGAAACACGTATCATTCCATTTATTATCTTGATTGCCAGTTTATTTTTACTCTAATACGAGCATACACCCTATTTTTCTGGTTAATATCTTTTATCCCAGAGTAATTATTAATAGTATCTCCTTTCACTCTCAAAAGTGCTCCAGGAGCATGG